TTTGGTTTGATATACAAGGTTCTAAAGGACATTTTATTTGCTCTTAGCTCTAGACAATTGCTGTTCTGCAAGCAATAACGGTAGGTATCATTGAAAGTGAAGGGAAAAACTGGAAAATCTCGCCAATATACCTTTAAATTGCTTCAACGGCATTAAAACTGTATTGTTTTTTTTCAAAAAATGTGTGTGTGAGCTAATACTATCACGAACATTATAGTTCACTACTGCTACAATTCCGGTTGGAACATGAGGTTTTTTGGTGTCGCTATCGGCTTTTTAAAACTTCATGCCATAGGCTATAGCCTATCCATATATAACCCTACTACAGACTTACAAGCTACAGCCCGAATCTTCAACCTGCCACAGTGCCTAGCTAGGTACGCATTTAGTTAGCAGACCTCATTAGGTCTATGTCCCCCAGGTACTTACCGGAACGTTACCCTGGGTACGGTCCGGGTATTACCGAACGTTACCCTGGTAACTATCTGATATGGTTAGGGTTTAGGGAGTAGGCCGTAGGCGAACGTCCCTAGGACTCGTTAGTGGAGTAGGCCGAGTAAGGGGGGGAGGGGTGAGGGGGGGGGGCGGGGGGGGGGGGGTGGGGGGTGAATCGGCTACAGACCGGCATATTACTGATAGTACAGCAGAGCATATAAATCACGTTGATTTAACATACCCGGTATTACCGGACCGTACCCAGGGTACGTTCCGGCCAGTGCATGGCCATGGATGGGGGACATAGACACTCTCAGCGTTACAGCACCTGCGTTACTTGGCGTTAGTACAGTAGTAGTACTGACTACTAGTAGTAGTAGTAGTAGTACTACTAGATACAATAATGTACCAAAAACCAAGAGGCATAGGGTTACAACGCAGCCTATACCTTTTTGGCGAGAGAATGCCCGAGTGAATCACTCGGGCAGTTGCTGGTGTATTTTCAGAGACTAGAACTTCCAAACTGGGTTTATTCTCAACACAAACCTTTCTCCGCTATCTGGGAACTTACTTTGTATCGCAATACTCTGTATTAAACTAATATAACCTGTTATAAAAATTCGAAGTGACGAGCGGCGATATTACTGAGCGCCATTTCGTTGTACCTGTGACGTACGCATTTCCAATGCGCCATAGCGATCGGCAAACGCAGCGCCTCGATTGGTCGCGTGAATCCGCTCTTCAAACGAAGTACGTCACAGGTCAACAGAAATGGCGCTCAATATATCGCCCGCTGTCACTTTCGAATTTTTATAACAGGTTTTATAGTTAATACAGAGTATTGCCCGATACAAAGTAAGTTCCCAGATAGCGTCGGAGAAAGGTTTGTGTTGAGAATAAACCCAGTTTGGAAGTTCTAGTCTCTGAAAATACACAGCAAACCTGCCCGAGTTGATTACCGGTGCATTCCTCCGCAAAAAGGTATAGGCTCGCGTTTGTAACCTATCCTTCTTGGGTTTGGGTTACATTATTGTATCTATAGTACTACGTACAGCTACAAACACTATTAGAAAGGCATTATCAATTAGAGAAAGTAAAATAATTAATGCTAACTTGCAGACAGAATTTCCTTATCTACAGGATTTCCCTGCACATTCCAAAGAGAGAATCAGTGCCTTGTGAAATACAACTTGAGAGGGACCCCAAGATAAAAGATACAAGATACTGTCATAACCGAAATTGAGAACTGCTCTTAATAGCAAATAATACAAATCCTGATTTTATATTTAAACACATGCCTAATTGCGTCTGTATATACTTGTCTGCCGAAATACTTGTGAAAATATTCTTTACTGTTTTGGAAATGTTACTCACGATAATGATTACCGGTGACGACGACGACTCGTGCGCCACCTGGATATCGTGTTTACCTAAATGTTCTGTTGTTAATCGCCTGATTTGTTGTTGAATTCTGCTTGGAGTTTCTAAACATGTGTGCTCTTTTACAAACCTAAATGTATGTACGATCAATTTGACAGTTACGAAAGAGGACGTCACACATTACAATCTGTGAGCCAGCGATTACTAGCTGTAAGTGCTCGTGAGGTTTAACAATCAAATAAATGTGTGGTGTGTGTGTCGTGTGTTTATCCCTGACTATGTTAAGTATGCGGGGGTGTATCACTATCATCAGTAATTATATAAAAGTAAAAATACAGTACAGAAATTATTACTTCCTACATTTAAATATTGCAATAATACCACGTGAGTGTGTGTATCCTGTTTGACTCAAGTTATGCACAATATTCAGTAAACCACGGCACATGCACAGTATAATATTATTAGTATATTACACTCGCAGCTACAAATCACGTTCCTGAAACTCCTGTTTTATGGTGCATTGTGACCCTAACCCTAACCCTAATTAAAATTTAATTAAAAAAATAAAATAAAAATTTAATTGTAAAAATTATTTGTTGTTATTAAAAAGATCGTTCACTCTAGGTTCTAGGGTTATTTTCAGTTAATTTAGGTTAAAATTACGCTACATAAAAAGTTTCATGGTTCAATCACCGGCATTAGAAATATTATTAAAAAATGTTTTAAAACTAACGACTACAGTTTGATTACAACGACGGTGGCGCACTCAAAAGGCAGAGTAAAGTTTTACAAAACATGTCGGAACGCAGCATAACCTATTTATTTCAAACGCCATCGCTACAAAGCGGGTATAGCGCCATCTACGGTCACAAATTGTGATTCATTTTAGTTTATAAATTATTATTGCGATATACAGATGGCAATCGTTTTTATAATGTACGTCGATGGTTGCTCAATTAAAACTGACTTCTTACTCACTCATTTGTGTCCTTTTTTGTGGTGAGCTACAGTGTCATTGACACTTTCATCCATCTCAACTTCGCTTCTTCCTGCTCTACTTTTCCCTCTCCTACTCCCTACCCTTTAGCAGCATTATCCATCTTTTCCACCCTTCCTTTCCCTGCCATTTTCTTATGTCTCTTCCCCTCCACTTCCTACCTTCACATTCTATCAAGAGCTAATAATAAATACCTCATATTATTAGCTCTTGATTCTATCTTCTTACCGCTCGATCCTTTGCCCTTCTCCCTATACTCCACTGCTAACATCTCCCCATTCCAGCCTGCAGCTTCACACACTCCAGTTACCTTCTTGAGCTCATACCCTTCTGCTCCTCCCTGCTCCTTATCACTACTCTACCTCCTCCCTCCTCGCACAGATCCTTTGACTGTACTCAAAACAAACAGATCGGTAATCAGTAACTGCCTTTGAGTGCTCACATAGTTAGCGCCTTAGCGGTGACGCAATTAGGCCTACTATACCGCTGTAGTTTGTGAATATAAATGACATCAAGAGCATATAAAGAAGGAGAGCGTACAACGGTAAAATGCTGAAACCATGTTGCAGTATTAGTCAAATTAATAAACTTTTCCCGTTTTATTTTGACGATTCTTTGCAGTATTATTGATCAGCTGTCCTACCTTGTTCATATAAAACAAACCGCATGTCCCTACGATGCCCATACGCTGAGATAATGAGCGGTGAAAATCTGGTATTTTCGCTGAACACCGACTAGACATTAGAAAGTACTGCAACCCTCTCTCGAAGTGTTATAACTTCGGTAAACCTCGCGTGTTTCCGTCAATGATTGACAAATGGAATGAATGACGTCTGTTATTGATTGCCATAGTGATGACCCCCACCTGTGCCCACCTCACGCTCACCTCACGCTGGATGTATAGTAAACTCTGGTAGTATGACGTGAGTCAGCGCCACTATGACGCTACACAGCGGCGACCGGAAGCAACACACTGGCCACACTTCGAGAGAGGGTTGCAGTACTGACTAATGTCTAATCGGTGTTCAGCGAAAATACCAGATTTTCACCGCTCATTATCTCAGCGTATGGGCATCGTAAGGACATGCGGTTTGTTTTATATGAACAAGGTAGGACAGCTGATCAATAATACTGCAAAGAATCGTCAAAATAACACGGGGAAAGTTTATGAATTCGACTAATACTGCAACATGGTTTCAGCATTTTACCGTTGTACGCTCTCCTTCTTTATATGCTCTTGATGACATGCATATAATGCAGTGCCTGACTCGTTGACTGTGATTGGATTTTGAGTATGGAACAACAAAGTGAGCAAGTGACAATACAAAAATTGCACTAAGATTTTTTGCAATTCGTTCGTAATAAAGTATAGTAAATTATTTTGAAATATAAATTTTAAATAATTTTCCATGATTTGCATTAATAGAGATTTGGTGGCATGTTTGTTTCATACTAGTAATGAATTGACCAAATTTTAATATGAATTCAGCTCATTTGTTTTGTAACTTGTCTGTGTTTTATTTTCCTAGTATGTATAGGAGCTGGTAACAAAAAAAATTTACCTGAAGACAAGAATTGTCTGAATTGCCACCCCTGTGATACAAAATATTCATCATTATATGAGGAGATTACACTATATGTTAGCACCATCGTAATTGGGAACTTTGTAATACAAAATGTAATCATTATACGAGACCGACTATGTATTACTACAAATTTTGTTCACACTGCCGCTCTATTAAATAATGACCTCGGTGGAAGTCATATTTTGTTTTGTTTTGTTTCTTGGTAAACTAGTACTCGGTTGATTATGCGTTTAATTTATATTCTGATGAAGAAGCAGAAAAACTGAGAATAAATGTACAGTATCAGGATGAGACATGGTGTCACAAGGTCCAAGATGTATGTGTAAATTATAGTATATTTACACAATAATCAGTGCGTGTGTTTACACATGCATATCTTGATATGTATTTATCTGCATCACTATATTCGATATGTTGTTCATTCTCAACCTCATTTTAACTTTTATGTCTATTATCTACCAATCTTACTCCACGAGGTAACCGTGTGTTCCTGATTTTAAATTTCAGAATCGGCGGTGAGCTATGCGCCGAGGAATTTGGTTCGATTCACAAAATGTTCCCTCTGTTTGAGCTGGTGAGGATACTCGATCTAGAGAATCTATACCAGATTCCCGTACACGGCACAAATGCCATCGACCACACGGAGCAGGCGATCGACGTGTTGGCACCGCCGGATATTAAGCTGTTTGCAACGACCAACTGCGCCGAACGTAGCCTCCTCGCTATCCTCTGTAGCGATGGTGAGTTGTCGTGGACCCTGAGAACTGTCAGATTTGTACTCGTGGGGGTAATGTGTGAAAGCTCAGTGCATTTGGCACACGTTCTGTAAACAGGATAAAACGCAGGTACAACCCTGCTGTATGTTGCTAAGCTGTAACTTGATACCAATATCTGTAATTTATAACAATAGGTTAGAAAAAAATCTATTGACATGAATTAGCATATAGATTGAATTGATGCAATGGCTCACTGGTTATGCAATAACATCGGGTACGAGTGCAGTTAGCATTCAAAATCTGTGTAATTATTTCGGTAAACAATTGCACATAATACATTTTTCTATAATAGGATCGCTTGTGGTGCACTACTGTGTTGGTGCGGCACCAGCTGTTGTCCGGCGGTTGGAATGGAACCTTGACATGTTATCGGAAGTTGTTGCGATGACGTTTGACCCCTCAGGAACATGGCTCTTGTGTGCTGTTCAGACTGCCGGCATTTACATCCTTCCAATTCTATCTGCAATGGTAACGTGCTTGCTTGCAGAGAAGTGTTAAGCTTGATTTGTGCAATTTCGAAATGTGTCGCATGTAAAATAGGGGTCTCATTGACATTTTCATCATGTTTTAATGGCTCACTACAATGTTTTGGGACTCGCAATGTTTGTGAAACATGTCTGAGAAGTGCGATAGAGCAGCTACATAGACAGAGGGAAGGAGACAAGAAATTGCCTTTGCAGAGGAAAATGTTTGAAAAAAAACTACCTTGATAAATACAGCTATTATTTTTAATTTTCTGCTGCACTTAAAAGTGAATCGTTATTAGAGGCAAGCAGCCACATTATAAAATATAATTTCATGTAGAATAGTTACAATTTCAGTGTGAATGATTAGTAATGTGTGATAAAACACATGTTTTAACTGTGTGATGTTGTGTATTTTATGTTGAAATCCCCCAAAAAACTTGTATTTTATCTATTAACAGGACCCTGGAGTGAAAATCAACCAAATGTGGAACCTCAAAGATGTTACAGAGATCCTGAAGTATAAAGGAACAAAAGGTAGGAGTAATTATTTAAAGCATGTTTACACTGCTTATTAAGATGCACTAAAATATCTCAAACCGACTTTAATTTCTATACGGGGAATTGTGTTGCAAATGAGAATGTACCTATGGAAAGTGATAAAATTATGCAGAAAAGTAAAAGACAAAAGTATGTATAGATTGATACGCTCATGTACTTCAGTCTGTAATACTAACAATGTAAGAAATTAGCTCATGGTGTATTTTACAGCTCAACCAACTTCGGTTGCCTGGTGGAACACACTGGATGATATTCATGTTGGCATCATTGCAAATAAGGTTTGAATTTTTCTTTACTCTCGTTATTATTTCGATAGTTATCGTGATAATGTGCAGAGGATATGTATACATTTTCTGTGCTTATTCCTGTCTGTCATCTAGTACATCATACAATTTCTGCTGTTATTTATAATTGTGGTTGGCAAACCTTTCATTAATAAGGCATAACTTTATTAGTGTGTGTGTGTGCGTGCGTGCGTGTGTGTGTGTGTGCGTGTGTGTGTGCGTGCGTGCGTGCATGTGTGTGTGTGTGCATGTGTGTGTGCGTGCTTGCATGCATGTGTGCTTGCGTGCGTGCGTGCGTGTCTCTGTGTGTGTGCGTGGGTGTGTGTGTGTGTGTGTGTGAATGTGTGTATTAACTATTGTACAATGTCATTCCATGACTATGTATTTTTCTAGCTTGGAGAAGTCACATTTGTTGACCTTGTCAAGGGGAAGGAGCTATGTGGCACGTACATACCAGAAGAGATCGAGCAAATGGAATTGTATACTAATAATGAACAGACAACCACCTACCTGCTGGTATGTTAATCCCCTCCAACTCACTCCTTTATTAATTCAGGTGATTGACATGTGATAAATGAATCAAAGAATCCAATTCGTTCCTGTGCATGTAGCAGAAAATGTGTTCCTGTGTAACTCATGCAGGTAACATGTGATGCATTCCCATTTATGTCACACTGTATCGCTCATTGAATTACCATGTATGTGGTGCAGGTAACACTCGTGTATCTGTATATGTCATGCAGGTAACATTCGTTGTATATCTGTACATGTCATGCAGGTAACATTCGTTGTATATCTGTATATGTCATGCAGGTAACATTCGTTGTATATCTGTATATGTCATGCAGGTAACATTCGTTGTATATCTGTATATGTCATGCAGGTAACATTCG